GGGCCACCACAGGGCGGGGAGGACAGGCCGTGGCTCCTGGCTGCTACATTCGGGAGGGTGGACTGGCCAGTTCATAGAAGAGCAGGTAGGCGTCACTGCCGCGCACTTGGCTGGAGGACATGGGCGTGACGCTGTGGAGAGAGCAGCGCGGCTCAGGACTGCAGAGTGCACTCCTGGGGACACCCTCGGCCACCTCCCAGCCCTTTACACCCAGGGCCCACCTCTCCGGGTGCCTCAGTGGGTGGCCTCCTGAAAATATGCGACATAGCTTCTGGGCTCTGTCTAGGAGAGGTAGAAGCCACCCAGCCAGGGGAGGCACTGACAGCCAGGCCCGGGCCCCATATCCCCCCTCCCTGCCCCGAGACCTCTCTCACCTGGAGTCATTGAAAGTGTGCCATTCACCGGTCACGGGGCTCCGGCAGTAGGCTGTGTAGTGGCCCCCCATGGTGGTTCCAGAGTGGTTGGACACAGCATACAGGTTGTAAACAGCATGGTCTGAGGAGGGCATTCCAGGGCTGAGCTCCTGAGGCATTCCCATTCCTTGCCCCTGCGTTCCCTCCTTCCTGCCTGGTATTCCCTGTCTTTCACAACTCTCCCTTTTTCCATGCAGCTCCCCCTACCTCCCCGTCCCCCCACCCCTCTTTCTGTGTCTGACACGCCCGGGGCTCCTTCACTCCTTCCTGCTCCCGGCAGAGAGATACTCACTGGTGTTTTCCGAGGCAAATTCTCGCAAGTCCAGGTCCCTCAGAGGGAAATTCACAAAGGTCGTGAGCTTGCTGGTGCGCACCCTGGACTCAGAGAACCGCTTCAGGTCTGGGGTTGACACATGTCAAGGCAAGCTAAAGCCACTGGGCGCGAGTCCCTGCAGGCACCTGCACTCCTGAGGAAAGGCAGCGGGAGAGGCAGCCCCAAGGCACACCTGCCTGGCTTCCTTGTCCCTGCCGCTCCTCACCTTCACCTCCAGCCCCTGCCACCACTCACAGCCTGACGCCACAGGCGTATATGGGGCACACTAGCACCAGGCAGGCACGCACCCTCAGAACACTCATCCACCTGAGGTCAGAGGGCAGCATCTGCCCAGGGACAAAGCTCAGAAGGCAAGGATGGCCAGGGAGAAGGACAGATGGACCGGAAACACAGGGAGGGGGAAAGGGCTGGGACACTGGTGGGGGGGGACTGCAATTAGCCTCCCTAAACAAAAGGTGTATGAAATGTGGAGTGGAAAACCAGCGTGCGATGCAAACTTCCACCCAAACAACGATGAAATCAATACCCCAAACTCTCACAAACATCACGCTCATAAAGGATACGGAGCACCAAGACCTTGGGGAACCTCTGGATGGAGAACTTCTTTATGCATCGCTTTCTGGCCCGGCAGCGGCAGCACGTCTGAAAGGTCAGACCCACAGCGCTAGCCAGGTCCTGGGGGTGCCCTCAGCAGCACCCTGCCCACAGGGTCCCCAGGGACATCGGCTGTCTTATTGAAGGGTGACTTACTGGCTTTTCTTCTCCATCGAGCACGTCTTCTTTGGTGAAGAGCCTCATACAGTCCATTAGTGTCACCTCAGGGTAACCTCGCTGGTACAGGGGGGAAAGAAAGCAAAGGTGAGAGGTCGGGGAGCTGACAGGCTTGGAGTGGGCAGTGAGCAGTGGGCACATACCTTAGTGATGGGCAGCGAGAGGTCCCAGAAGGGGTCAAAGACCGTTGAGCAGTAGCCACAGTCGGTGCACGTCAGGGAGCTCTTCAGCTGCCCCACGAAGAGGTCTGGCGAGGAGACAGGGGGGCATGTTTGCACCGTGCCATCTGCACGGCGGCTTCCCAGGTAGCCTGTGCTCGGGGGGATGTTGTGGAGCCCTTCTCAGGCAGAGGTGGCCCCAGGGCAGGCAGCCTGGGCCCAGCCACCCTCTCACCACCCACCCCGGCTCCCTGAGCCACGCACTCACCCCCAATCCGACTGTCCTCCCGCTCGAGGTACTTCCTCCACATCTGTCTCCCTTTCTCGTCATCACTGGGCAGTGTGGAGAGGAAGACAGTCGGATTAGAGCACAGACCAGGGGAACTTTACTAGATCTTTGACATTCAAAAAAGGGGGCCCATTGTCCCCAAAGCATCACCGCCACAAGGGGAGGCACATGGCTAGCTTCCGGGCACTCGTACTTACGGAAGATGGTCAAAGTTCTCGGGGGTGGCCCTCGGCCGCACGGTCACCCGGTTCACCTCGTTGTGGAGCCCGTCCAGCAGGAAGCGAAGGAACTCTTGGGCGTCCTGCTGACTGCGCCGAGGAGGAGGAGGAGGAGGAGG